AGGCCTCTGTGCAAGTTTGTGTGTATGTGCTCTTCTGCACATTATGTACTGTTTAAAAAGTTTATTCTGCAAAATAAACGACTAGTGACTGCCAAATATGCCAAATTGTTGCGCGCTTCCACTTGGAAATCTGAATCCACTTGCGCACGCCGCCAGTACAGATGCACCTTGCATGCATGCCTTTTCTTTCAACAGAAGACTCTTGCTGCCGGCCCCAAGCCTGGCGCATTTAGCTTTCCTTCCGGTTCCGGAAACTTCGTCACCTAAGTATCATTTGAAACCCTCGCTGCTGCGCCGCTGCTGCTGCGCTGCTGCTGCTGCTGCGGCGGCGCCGCAGCTGCGCCGGGCCCCGCTGCGTGTACACCCGAAAAACTGCGCCCACGGGGTGCGCGGCCGCGGTGTAGGTACACCGCGCCAACAGCAGCAGCAAAGCGCTCAGCTCCAGAGCCAGCAGCACTGCTGCAGCACTGCGGCAGCGGCGGTCAGCAGCTGCAGCAGCAAATCTAAAAATAACTGCTCTTCGGAGCGAGCAGCACTGCTGCAGCAAAGCCACAGCGGCAGCGGTTAACAGCTACAGCTGCAGCGGTCCTTGTCAGCTACAACTCCGCAACACTACCGACAGCAGCTGCAGCAGCAGCAGCTGTCCTCGTCAGCTACAACCCTGCAACACTACTGGCTGCAGCAGCAGCAGCGCCATGGAACTCTCGGCAGCAGCAGATGCAACAGCGGACAGAAGCTCTTAGCAGTGGCAGCACGAGTTCGCAGCAGCAGCTGCACTGCTGCCGCAGCAACTGCAGCACCAGGTTCTCTCTGCTTGGCCACAGCCCAGCAGCAGCACTGACACGGGCAGCCCCACCCCCAGAAATGGCAGCCAAACCCTCTAGCTGCTGCACATGAAGCAACGGGGCTGCTGCATGCGAGCAGCAGCGAGGCGGTGGCCCTTGCTGCTGCCGCTGCAAATACCGAAAAATCGAAGCGGCGGCTGCGGTGTCTGTACAGCCGGCGTGGGCGCCGGGCCACGCACGCCCCTGAGGTGTACTGACAGCTGAGGTGTACGTTCACCTGGGAGGCAAGGGTGGCTTCTAGTGAAGCCTAAAGAACGCGAGATCTGGGCTGAGGCGCCCAGGATGCAGAACCATCACCCTCGAGTGTGAAATATGAATTGAGTTGGAATCAATTTTGGAAATAGTGGAATTACTTGCCGGTGTACTTGGTGACAGCCTTGGTGCCCTCGGAAACGGCGTGCTTGGCGAGTTCGCCGGGAAGCACCAGGCGGACGGCCGTCTGGATCTCGCGGGAGGAAAGCGTATCTTTTTTGTTGTATTTGCACAGCTTTCCAGCTTCCGAGGCAATTTTATCGAAAGTATCGCCAATTAAAGAGGTCATGATCATCATGGACTTCTTGCTGATGCCGGTTTCGGGGTGCACCTGCTTCAGCACCTTGAAGATGTACGAGCTGTAGGTCTCAGCTCTCCGCTTCTTCCCCTTCCCCTTCCCCTTCCCGCTCGCGGGCTTCGCGGACTTCGCCGGCTTTTTGGAAACCATTTTCAACTCCTTTTTATTACGCCTTCATAAATGACACACGCGGAATGATGAGTTGTGCGCAGCACCCCGAGCTGCGCAGACACCCCAACAGCCTGCGCACTGCGACACCCGACGGGGGGTGATCGCCGCAGCACGCGGCTAGCACGTCGCGGGGGCTGGCTAGCACCTCTGTCTGCAACTTTGCCCTCTAAATCTCGCCAATATTACGAAATTTAACATTTAATTCCAAATATTTCGCATTTTGCGCAAAAACCCCGCTGAAATACCCCCCGCACGCAGGATCTCACCCAGACACGCCACTTTCACACCACCCCTTGGGGCCCGCCAGCTCCCCGCGGCGCAGCAGAAGCGCACCTGCCCGTTCAAATTCAATTCTTCTTTATTTTTATTTAGTTTTCTTTTATCTATTCGCATGCAGATACGCAAAGAAGCACGAAGGTGCCTGCCCGCAGCGCGAGAGGCAGCCATTCACGCTGCTGCACCCCGCCTGCACAGCAGCAACACATCTCTGTCCAAGTTGAAACAAATTGTGGCTAAGAGGAAAGCAAATATAATAGTCCATTTATCTGCATAGAGATCTGCCAGCTAAGCCATTTAAGGCTTTCTTGTTCTGCGTGGATGGGGCTGGCTCTTGTTGAATATTCTACAGTGTGCAAAGGGGAATCCGCAGCGGCCAGCTGTACCTGGGGCCCTCTGCGCCATTAAGTAATTAAAACTTAATATATTTGTTCTGCGAAAACAACGCAGCAGCTGAGAACGCGAAATGAGTCGTTTGAACTTCGCCAGAAACTGTGCCACTGCCGACAGTATAGGACGCCATGTGTATAGCATGTATATGAGATGCATGCGCATGCATGCATGTACACATGCAATATATGGGTATTATTTAGGATATATGTGTGTATAGAGGCCCCTTGTTTACAAAATATTAATAATATTTAGTGTATTTTGCATGTTTATGCATGCATAACATTTATGCATGCGCATTTTAGGTACATTAAACTGACTTATTACCACTTTGCTCCTTATAAGTGCAGCATACAGCCAAACGCATCATTGTGTGTATGTGTGTACGGTCTTCAAGTTGATGCTTACAACTGTCACGTATGTATATATATATATATATATGCATATATATGTACACGTAATTATACATATATATGTATATATATATACACACATTATATATATATATGCATATTATATATATATAATATATATATATACATATACAAATATAGATATAGATATAAGGCCCCTGCATTTGCAGGTGGAAGACCGTTTGGGTGCATCAGCAAACAGAAGTTACCAATTCTTATTTACTTTCTTAAACAGAAGATTCAACAATAATAAATTCCCATAGTGTGAGGGGCAATGCTTTACACATTATGCAAGTAGAGGCGCCAAAGCAAGTTTAAATAAAAGTTGTCAATTAACTGCAGCAAGTGTTCTCATTTTGAATAAAAATAAGTGACGAAAGATTTGCAAAACTGCCGCAAGTTGTTCTCATTATGAATAATAATAAATAATGAAAGATTTGCAAAACTCTGCGAGAGGGCACATTTGAAAAGGTGACTGTGCAGCCCAGAACCTGGGGTGTCTGTACACCCTGCACTTGAGATCAAGCACATTCAAAAAGGAAATGATTTCACTTTCTTCTGTTGACTCATTTAAAGTTTTCCGTGATTTCCAAAGTTTCACAGGTGCAGAGAAAGCTGCTGCTTCCTTGCAGCGCTGCTGTCTTGCTTCCCTTTTTAAACAAGCTGCCAGCAGCGAGCAGCAGCTTGCTGCTGCTTGCTGCTGCTTGCTGCTGCAGCACGTGAAGGGCCAGCAGCTTGTTGCTGCATCTTCTCCTGCTGCTGCTTCACATGGGGTGTACGTACATCCCATTATGTACACTTCACCCAGTGAACACCGAAAAGAGGAAAAGCCGAAAAAAAGGAAAAATCGCATTTTAATTTTGATAAAAGAAATAAAAACTAAGTGAGCAAAAGGGGAAAAGCTAGCCAGTGAAGTTGCATGCACTTCGACACAAAATGGGCTAATAAGGAAGCAAAAAGACACACATAAACCGACACGCCCTCTGCAGCAGAAGCAGCAACAAATAAAAATGAAAATAAAAACAAAATTTAATATTTCGGAAGTTAAAGGGCCATCCACCAGAAAGGCGGGTGCTAGTTGCTTCTCTGTGTGCTGCTCATTTGCCGCAAGAGCGGTTGCTCTCATTGCAACTAGCTATCTGCAGCTAGCTGCAGCAGCTAGCTAGCTGCGGATAGCTAGCTAGCTGTAGCCAGCTAGCTGTAGCTAGCTAGCTGTAGCTAGCTAGCTATAGCTAGCTAACTGTAGCTAGCCACTGCAGACTCTTTTGTCCCTGAATTTTCCGCCTCCGAATTCCCAAGAGCTGCTGCACAACGCGCGGGGGCAGGGGGACCCCTTTTGGGGAAATCTGGGGGCCCCCTCCACCCTGTATTGTTTCTCGAGTTGCTTTGTGCTGGCCTCAATAGCTGCTTGGAGTGCAGCTGCAAAGCTCGAAAGCAGCATGCAACTGTAGCTAGCTGTGGCTAGCTGCGAGTAGCCAGGGGCTGGGCGCTGCAGCTGTGCATCCAGAGGCACAACCGCGCCGGCGTAAGCCAGGCAGCAGCAGCAGCAGCAGCAAAGGCTTCGCCTGCTGAATGAGAACGGCTTTGGGGCCTCTGGCTCCAATTATTGAGTGGCGCCTTTTTGCCGCATCTGCATGCATGCGCATGCAGGCGCAACTTCAGCACCCTCATCGTAGGATAATGCGAAGTCCCCGTGATTGAACTGTGCAAAAACTAATTGTTTACTAACAGCTTCCAAGCATGCATTCAGTAGAATTCATCTTCTATTGCTAAGGAGTCGCTGCTGTCTGCTACTGGATGTACACCGGGCTCCATCCTGAGGTGTACGTACACTGCAGATAGAAAGCCCCACTGAGCTGAAGGTGCAGCAGCAGCAGCAGCAGCTCAGCTGTACGTACACACTGCCTCCTCGACCTCGCAGCTGTGTTGTTGTTGAAGCTGCCCTGGTGGCGCTAGGTGCTAGCTGCTCACTGGCTAGCTAGCAAGGTGCCTAGCTAGCTACTTGGCTAGCTGCCTAGCTAGCTACTTGGTTAGCTGCTTGGCTAGCTGCTTGGCTGCTTGGGCTAGTTGCCTCGCTAGCCGCCTAGCTAGCTGCCCAGCTCGTAACAGTGCCAGTTGCTGCTGCCATTTGCTAACAAATCCAAAGAAATGCCTTTTTGAAAACAAGACAGAATTAAACAACGGCGTCAATCATATCCGCCCCCAAAAGGGAACACTTCAAACAGATGCGCAGCCAGTCAGAAGAGAAGCTTCTGAGTGGCAGAAAATGAAAAAGAGCCAAAGGTGACCGGCACCCCACTGCAGCAGCAGCTGCAGCAGCAGCAGCTGATGCTGCTGCAGCAGCAGCAGCGGGAGCTACGCGTCTTCCCCCACTGCCCCTCGAATGACGACGGAGTTCGGGGAAGTGGGGCACCTCCTGCGGTGCCGCAGCGCATATCCAGGGGCCTGCATAACAGCAGCAGCGCAGCAGAGCAGCAGCAGCAGCAGCTGGTGCAGCAGCAAGAGCAGCAGCTAGCTCGCCGCGAGACGGCCAACGGCAGCCCCAGGAGACACAAAACATTAAAGAATAAAAAGGGGTCAAAAGGGGAAATGAGAAAGGCAAAATAAAACAAACAAAACTCACAGCTGCCCTCTCTTCTGTGTGCTGCCGTGCTGCAGCAGCTTTTCTTGGGTCCGCCCAGGGGGCCCCCTGCAGCTGCAGCAGCTGCATCTTCCTATTGTAAATCCCCACAGCCTCGCTCTGCCTCATATAGGCACAGAGCTCGGGGTCTGGGGGGCCCCCTGGGGGGCCCCCCTGGGGGGCCCCCCAGGGGCCCCCCGTGTCTCGACAGCTTTCCCTCATGGGAAGCAGCAGCCGCCGCCGAACCCAAACTCGACAGTCCTCTGTCACATCTTTTATTGCGCGCGCAGACACCGTCATGACCCTGCTGCTGCTGCTGTTGCTGCTGCTGCTGTTGCTGCTGCTGCTGTTGCTGCTGCTGTTGCTGCTGCTGCTATCCCGCGTACACATTTTGGGAAGCGAGGGGGAGGGCCCCTGGTCTGACAACAGGGGCCCCCAACTAGCAGCGAACCACTGGTCCTCTAGTGACTGCTTTTGCCGCATTAGAAGAGAAGAAAATAGCACAATGTCGTGCGATTTTGGCTTCTCAGACTGCTGCTGCTGCTGCTGCTGCAGCGTGTCTAAAGCGAGGCAGCAGGCAGTATAGTAGCCATAGGTCTGGATAGAAAAGGAGCGACTGGTGGGTGCTTCGGCCGCTGCAGACTCTGCTGCCAAGCTGCCGCTGCTGCTGCTGTTGCTGCTAGTGCTGTTGCTGCTGCCGCTGGCAGTGCCGTTGCTGTCACTGAAGCTGTTGCTGTTTGTGAGGTGCGGCTGCTGCTCAGCAGCATCTCGCTGCTGCTGCTTCGCTGCCTCGCCTTCCGCTTCCTCATCGCCCTGCTGCTGCTGCTGCTGCTGCGCTGCACCCGCAGCAGCAGCCTCTGCGAGCTGCACTGTCCACGCCGTCGGGGAAACAGAAATGGCTGAATGGGGGGGCACTTTGCTTTCAACAGCCCGCAGCGTCTCCAGCCCTGCAGCAACAGCAGCAGAGCAGCAGCAAAAGCAAAAGTGTTTCCCAGAACACCCCGCGCCAGATCTAGCTGCTGCAGCCAGCTGCTGCAGCTAACGACTCCCAGCAGCAACTCACCATATATTCGCAGCAGAAACTGTTGCGCCAGCTTCTCCCTCTCTGCTCTGCCTACTGTTGCAGCAGCAATTAGCAAAGCTTCTTCAGAAGGTACCCCAAGGGCCCCTCCGTCGAGGGAATTCTCGCTGCTACAGCTGCTGCTGCCCCTGCTGCTGCTGCTGCCGCTGCTGGGGGTGTCAGTGTCTGTCCACTGCACGTCGAACGCGCCTTTGTCCTTGGCGAGGCACATCTGTCTTTTCCACCGCTGCTCCAGCTGCTGCTGCTGCTGCTGCCGCTCGTCAGCAAGTTGCTGCGCGTCCCGCCCCCTTTTTTGCGGCGCTGCAGCTGCGCCCAGCGCAGCTGAGCCCCCACATGTCCTCCGTTTTAGTTCAAGCCCTTGCAAGTAAGTTTCTAAAAGGGGTTGGGGGGCCCTTTGTGGATAGAGGAAGACATGTCTGTGTCGCTGCCGCAGCAAGTCGAACGCTTCCTGCAGGGGCCCCGCTGCTGCGCTGCTGCTGCTGCTGCTGTTGGGCGAGGTGTGACCTGAAGCCTGCTGCTGCAGCAGCCGGCAGATGATGCA